TAAAGTTTGCTTCTTGTAGATAGCATAGATTTGGTTCCTGCTCTTTTACTGGTATTCAATCTGACCATCTCTGCATTTAAATCCTGGGTTAAATTTGCCACTTTGCTATTTGGATTTAGTTTTTGCTTTTTCTCTTTTGTTCACTCTTTTCCTCTTTTTCTGACTTTTTTTGGATTGAGTAATTTTTATGATTTATTTTATTTCCTCTTTGGTTTATTAGCTATTCCTGTTTGTGTGTGTGTGTGTGTGTGTGTGTGTGTGTGTGTGTGTGTGTGTTTGTGTTTGCTTGCTATAATGTTCACAGTGCATTTCTTTAGCATATCACAATTTACCTTCCCTCTGGCACCCGGGACCTGGGCTTCCCTTGCAGTATGTTTATTCTCTTTGGATAAATTCTGAGAAATGGTTTTCAAAAGCTATTGATTTAAAAATATATCTCTTTTATTCAAATACCTATATAATTCCATTATTAATTCTAAATTGTTTTCCCATTGATTTGTTAGGTGGTCTAGCTTACAATCACATTATCTGTGAATCATGATGAATTTGTTTTCACAGTTTCATAGTTATGTACTTCTGGCTTTTGTTTCATGTCTTGTTGAACAAATTGGACTTTTAGAACCACAAAAAATATTTTATTTCTAATTTCAACAGGAATCATACTGCTAGTTAACTGATATGTATTGAGCAGTTATTATGTGCCAGGCACTGTTCTCAGCTCTCTACCTGTATGATCTTTATTTCATTGTCTCTATAAGGTAGACACTGATTATCTCCATTTTACAATGAGGAAGCTGTGGCCAGAGAGGATAAATAATTTACCTAAGACAGGAAGCAGCAGAGCTGGGATGTGAACTGTGACTCTAGAGCCCATTGATGTTTACCTCTAGACAGGTGTGCTACCATCCAGCTCTCTGAAAATAAGCCCTGGTTTGTCACATTTGCCAATTTTTGTGGTGTAAATACTCCCACCATAGCTGACATAGCTTCACTAAGCACGGATTTGGGGAGAGATCTAACAATTCCTCTTGGAAGCTGGACCTCTTGCCAGTTCCAGTGCACACAGCCTTTAGCGTTACACCAGCAGGTAAGGGGGTGGTGTTCTTCAAATAGCTATTAGTTGAGATTCTTTGGTTTTAAGAAACAGAAATCATCTGGAGCTGGCCCAAGCAGAAGGTGGAATTTACTATAAGGATATAGTATCAGAATGAAGGGCAGGAGGGTTTTAGGGTGGGGGAGCGAGGAAAAACTATGGTGGGGGCCTAGATCTCTACTTCTCTGTTTACTGCAGGGCAGTGTTCTTGCATCTCTGGCCCATAGGCAGAACAGTACTATCCATCAGTCCTGAATGTCCTCACAGTGGTTCCTGCCACCAGCAGAGACTGAGGCCTTCTCTGACTGGCTCAGTTAGGTCAAGAGTCAGGTCTAGGTCAGTCAGCTATGGCCATGTGACTTCAGTGGGTCTGTTTGCCTCTGTTCATGATCAAATTGGAGATGTCAGTCCACACTAGGATCAGCCCCTTCTGTCTTTGAAATTCTGTTACACTTAACACCTATCTTTGTACTGTGGTCCTCCGGGCTCCTCACCATTTGGGTCCTGATGATTGTTCTGATGTACGTCATCCCCTTCTTCACTTTGACATCCTGCCCTTCTTGTTGGCCCTTGAATATTACAAGCTCATCTCACCCTAGGGCCTTTGTATTTGCTCTTCCAATGCCTGGAAGACATTTTCTATGGGTCTTCTTGTGGTTCACACCCTCCCTTCATTCAAGTCTCTCCCTCAGAGACTCCCTCCCTGAGCATCCTGCCTGAAACAGTCCACGCCACCTGTGCCTGTCCTCTCATCCGCTTTATTTTTCTTCATCATGTTTGATATTATCTGAAATTGTATCATGTATTCGACCCTCTGTTCGTGGTCTCCCCACTGGAATGTAACCTATTGGTGTAGGGACTTCGTCTTGGTTATTGCTGTATTTTCAGCACCTGGAACAGTGCTTGGCATGTCGTAGATACTCAAATCTGTTTGTTGAATGCATGATTAAATGAATGAACAAATGAGTTGCAGACTTATTTTGAAGTATACATTTAAAAATAAACCTCAGCCCTGTCCAGTCTGGCTAAGTTGGTTGAGCATTGGCCCATGCACCCAAAGGTTGCCTGTTGATTCCTGGTCAGAACACATGCCCAGGTTGTGGGTTCAATTCCTGATAGGGGTATGTGTGGGAGGCAACCAACAAATGTTTCTCTTTTACATAGATGTTTCTCTCTCTCTCTCTCTCTCTCTCTCTCTCTCTCTCTCTCTCTCTCTCTCTCTCTCTCTCTCAAAATCAATAAAGACATATTAAAACAATAAATCTCAACTATTGACTTTTTTTTCAAATGTGTTTTGTTTATCCTGTACTGTAATAAAAATAGTACTTCTTTTTTAAAAAATGAGATGTAATTCAGATTTTTAATGGTCTGACCTTCCTCAGTCTACCCCTTAACACACTTTCTCCAAAGCCCTCCCTGTAAATATTCTAAATAAGCGAGGTTTTGCAGCAATATGTGGAAATGGGCTTTTGTTGTTCGTTTGAGGCAGGAAATATTTGATATTAATTATGACTTGATGATTGTATGCTTTCCTGGTAAGAAAGAAAGTGGCATAAAAAGCTGGAGTTTTGTTTTCTGTGTTTAAAGGCTTGGTGCAAGCAGAAAACATTATCTGTTTGTTTATAAGACTATTTCACAGGTGACTCCTACAAGAGTCCTCTTTAGTTAAATGCAGGTAAAGTAACTCAGAATTATCATCAAAATAGATGAAGACAAATGGCTGTTTGCATGAAAAAAAGAAAAAAAAAACAATTGAGAAAGATACGTTTCCAAAAGTGTGCCAAAAAGATTTTCTTTTGAAAAATTCAGAGCTAGAAGGAAAATATTATTTTCACAAGAGAAGCATGCATTTGGCCATTGACAAACCATTTTCCTTTCCAAAGCTGGGGAGATTTTTAGTTGAAGAAGATTGGCAACGTTGTCCCTGGGCTGAAATTTATAGTTTTCACCATTATGATTGATTTTCCTTTGCGGCTAACACACTCTGATAGAGTTTTGAAAAAATTTTTGAGCTGTGGCATCCTCACTATGGTACCTATGTGTCTAGCTCCTGTATCCCAAGGCAATGTCTAATTCATGCCATCCATTTAGATGTATGCATTTCATGAGCTTTTGAAGACATTTTCCTTTCTTTACTGTATAACCAGCCTTGTACATTTCAGACTCGTGGGAAATGATGGAAATGAGAGGGAGCAACTGCACAGCTGGAAAGAAACAAGTGCCTCTCTAATTAGCTAGTTAGCTCAACACATAAGCTAATGAATTCAACAAACATTTACTAATTAGTGCCAGGTGTTGTGCTAGGATGTGGGGATGCCACCTGGAAGAGACATGGTCCATGCCCTCATGGAGCTCACAATCCAGTGAGTTCCAGAAGGAGGTGTCATTCCAATTTCAAGTCACAGACCACCATGATGAAGATATACTTAAGCTCTGCTATCTTCCACACTGGGAGCTGACCACCCCACTTTGTTGTAAACCTTCAGATAAACCATAATATTCATTATGAATAGGTTGGACTCATTTTTTCTCTCAAGGATTTTACTTTTTCAAGAAGGCTGACTGGTCAAACCATTATGTATTCCTTTGTAGGAAATATGCTTTTTAAATACCACAGAAAAAGTAAGAATACTTCTTGCAAAGAACTGGGAGTAACAATGCCTAAAGGTGACCTAGAGGCCTTTTGTCCTTGAAGGAAACATGATTGTTTATCCCCTGACACAGCAGTCTTTCTTTTTCGGTTCTTTGTGACTGACATAAATGCGCTGAACATCAAATTCAGGGGGTAACTCCCTCTTTGTTTTTTTTTTTTTTGAGAGGGGGTCTCCTAAATAAGCCTTAAAAGGGTATTTTTATTTTGATTTAAGTTTTACTAATATTTTAGAAGCTTCTGGATGGCATAAAAGTACTTTCAGAGTATGCTAAAAGTACAGCCTAATTTTACACCAAAGAAACTCTTAAAGCTACCTGAAAATCTAATTTTTATAAATGGAGTAACTTTTGTATTGACTATTTCTACCATTCCTTTTAGTTTTAAAGAGTTCAAAGATCACCTCATACTCTTAAGAGTTCTTCATTTAGCTTTGAGCTTTAATTCACAACAACCTTTCACACTAGACATTATTCCACCTGTTTCCTGTAACCTCTCAGTTAGGAGATCATAAGCTGCTAACTCACAAGACTGCGACTTAGTGAGCTTAGTCTCCAATGTAGCATCTTTAAAAACTCATCTTTATTTGTGTCAAATCTACTTTCTCATCTCTTTGCTTTATAAGCTATAATTTGCTTTTTAAAAATATGTTGTAGGGGCAAGTCTCAAAGATGGACCCCAGTGGGCCACAGTTTGGAATTCAAGCCCTTTTTCATTGACTGTGATCTGGACAATGATTTGCTTCAACAAACAGAATGTAGGAGTGATGCAGAGCCTGTCCCATGATTACTCTTTAGGGGACTGGCAGCTTCTGCTTCCTCCTCTTGGAACATTTGTTTTTTGGAGCTCTGGGCTCCTCATTCACTACCTGGCTGGAGAGACCATGTGAAGAGGCTCTGAGGCTGTATGGAGAGGGAGTGACGTCCAGCTGTCTCAGTGTCCTGGTCAAGCCCTTGCTGCTGGCTGACTTCATCTTCATGAAAGACTTTACAAGGGACCAGCAGAAGAACTACCCAACTGAGCCCAGCAACCCACAGAAGAGTGTAACAACATGTGGCTGCTGTTTATGCCCCTATGTGTTAGGCAGTTGGTTATGCAGCATCACTAACAAACTATGCCACACCTGTTAATCATAAGACTTCAAATAAAAAGCAAGTGAATTGGCTCCCTCAGAATAATTCATATACTAACTTGAAGAGTTTTTACGGGAAAGTAAGCCTTCAATGCTCTGAGAATCTAGGTTAGTGAAGAGCATTCTTATTCTCGATCAAAAAACTCGTCAAAAGGTGGGATTCTCTCTGTCCTGGTCCTCACCAGGGCTCGTGGTTTCTTCACGACTTTCCCCAACTCCTCAGAGTCAGAGCTAGAGCTGTCCCAGAGCAGCTGTCCCCGGGCCTCTTGTTCACGGAGCCATGTTTCCATTTTGCCAATTTTCCGGGGACCATAGTCATTCCTTGAATGATGTTCTAAAAATTCTGCATTCTGTGAATTTCCTACAAAAAATTAAAAGTTGATTTAATTAATTCCCCCCTGACAATGGTGTATTTGTTTAAGTGCCTGTTTTTGTATGAACACAGAATAATCTGTTTGGTATTTTTAAAAATATATACACATATACAGGATTCCATCTGGGGAAGCATTCACAATGTTTCTCTTTTCCTTTTTTAAAAAAAATTTAAATCTTCTGAAAGGCACAAGAATATTATACCTGTATATATACCTGTACACTCCAACTCACCAACAACATTTTGTCACTATATATGTACTTTTCAGTTGATCCATTTGAGAATTAGTTGTAGAGTCACTGCCCCCCAGCACACATCACCACAAATCTCCTAAGAACAAAGGCAGGAAGGAGAAAAGAAAAAAAGAAGAAAATCAAGGAGACTAAGAAGCCCTGACAAGATACCTCAGCTGGTTAGAGCATCGCCCTGATACACCAAGGTAATGGGTTTGATCCCTGGTTGGGGCACATACAAGAGTTAACCAATGAATGCAAAAATAAGTGGTCAACAAATCAATGTTTCTTTCTTTCTCTCTCCCCTCTCTCACCATCCTCTCTCTCTAAAAAAACAAAACAACAAACAAGCAAAAAAGGAGACTGAGAAACAGAAAATAAAATGCAATGTATGATCCTGGTTTGGATCCTGGATTTAAAAAAGAAAGCACTAACAGAGAAACGAAAAGTAGCCATAAAGAGCATTATGGGGATAACCATCGATACTTACATACGGACCAAACATTAGAAAATAGCATGTATGAATGTTAACATTTGTAAGTGTAATAATTGTATTGTGGTTATGTAGGAAAGTTGCCCTTGTTCTTAGAAGAAGCTTAAAGAAAAATACTAAGTAAATAATAGCACAGGTGTCCAGATAAGACCAGAATTGTGCAGATGACAAATGATGTATTTAGGATGACATGTCCCTGAGGTATATAGTTATTTTCACTATAAGATACCAGTTCCATCTTTCTTCAGTTATGTCCATATTCCCATGCATTTACATGACACTTTACATTTTATATGTGCTTTCCCACAGATTTATATTAATTTTACATAAAACCTACTTGGTGACATGCTTTATATTCCCATTTTACAGATGTGGAAATTGAGGTTTGCAGAGATTAAATGACTATAATTTAGCTGTAATCTCTTTGTCTATAGAATAATCTCATGCAGACAAATATATATCTAATAATTATTGAGAGATACTATGTACCAGGCACTGTTCTGGGAGCTAGAGAAGGTCCCTGCTCCCATTTATTACAGTTAATAAATGTCCTGGTGGGGCTCAAATGAAAGACCTTGATTCCAAGTCCATGGCTTTTTCTACCCACTACATATGGCTTCTGGAAAGGGCAAGAGCAACACAAACATCTTAAAACTCATAGAATTTTAAGCTCTAAAAAACAATGTTCACTTTGTGTAAGTTATGTATCATTTATATATATACATATACAGTATATATAATTTATTATATAAATATATGCAAAGTGTGGGTGATTTCATTTTAAAGAAGCTGCAGAAAGAAAGAGACTTGAACTCTCACGTCAATTCCAAAAGAGGGAACGGAATAGGCAAATACAGCATAAAATCAGAGGAGATGGGTACAGAGGAATCTTAACTACCAGAATCTAACTAGCAGGATCCTCTTGTAAGTCTATGATCTTGGTTACACTCCATTTCTAGGAGAAAGCAAAGAGAATTGCTTTTAGAAGACAGAGGAAGAAATCAAAGACACTATTTGGGAATAAGTAAAAAGGAATCATTGATCCAGCATATGCCTACTGCCGTGGTGAAATCTATAGGCTTTGCAGAGGGCAGCCTTCTCTTGAAAGATAAGGTTGAGGAGTCACAACCTCTATATTTGCAGAATTTCCCACGGTTGTCCTGGACGGAGCTCCAACGAGGCTGTACAAGAGGGTGGGTGAGAGAGCACACTTGGGAGTCAGAAGGACTTGGCCTTGAATATTGGCTCCATTACATAGGGCCTAATAGTAACTCCTACCTTATAGGTTCTGTGAGGATTAATGCATTTAAGGGCAGACCACAGTGCCTGGCTTATAGTAAGCACTCCATAAACCTTTGCCAGAGCAAAATGAAGCAGCTCAGAAAAGCATGGGGAAAGCAGGAAAACCCCATCACCATGTGTCACAGTCTCCCCTGAGCCCCTCCAATTCTGGAGCATCTCCCAAAGACTACACCTGTGTTGGTTTTCCTTGGCCTGATCTCAAACAATGAGTCTCTATGTCTAACTGTAGCTGAGGCACTTTTCTTACTTGTTTTGCCAATATTTTTTTTTAATTGTAAAAGTTGTTTTCCTGCATGATTACACGGCATATTTTATTCCGGGACTCAGGAGTATAGGTTTCATAGATGCCTCAAGTAGATTTCAATGATTCAGCCTGCTCTGATTGCATTAACGTATTGATTAAGCATCTTGTTCTGAGCAGTTGCAGGATCTCTTTCAGCTGCCTATTTTGCTCTTCGAAGCCCAAGACCACCAGAGGCGCGGCCAGCATCTCCCTAGAGCTCTCAGTGGTCAGTCTTGCTGAGGTGGGGATTTGGCCCACAGCAGGGCAATCTAAGAGGGTAGACAATCTTGTACATTTGCAAGGGTGGGCTTGCCCTGGAGCAATACAGACAGGGCAAACTTGATGGGGCTCTCATTGGTGGGGCAACATAGAGCAGGGGTTACGTATGCAGATATCTGTTGGAAATCACACCGCAATCTGAGACTGTGAGCAATCTGGGCTGACTGCGGTGTGGGGCTGGGTAGGAGAATGGCAGGAGATGAAGCCAGGGAGGGAGTTAGACTTTGGCCTCAGGCTGATGGGGACTCACTGAAGGATTTCTTTTAGCAAGACAGTGAGTTGGTCGGATTTGCATTGTATAAGGCTCCTCCACTCTGAGTGCAGTACTTCTAGGTTCTAGAAGTGGGCAAACTTTTTGACTCGAGGGCCACAGTGGGTTCTTAAACTGGACCGGAGGGCCGGAACAAAAGCACGGATGGAGTGTTTGTGTGAACTAATATAAATTCAAAGTAAACATCATTACATAAAAGGGTACGGTCTTTTTTTTTTAGTTTTATTCATTTCAAACGGCCGAATCCAGCCCGCGGGCCGTAGTTTGCCCACGGCTGTTCTAGAACATTATTGTACAGGGGAACCACTTTGGAATCTTGACAAAATGTGGGGCCTGATTCAGTCGGTCTGGGGTGGGGTCTGAAATTCCGCATTTCTAATAAACTCCCAGGTGATGCAGACCCTGCTGGTCTGTGGACAATAGACCTGTGGTTCTTAAACTTTAGAGGCATCGAATCACCTCAGTAGAGGGTGCTAAACCCAGATTGCTGGGCTCAGCCCTGCAGTTTCTGATTCAGTCACTCTGGCTGGGGCCCTGACACGTTCCCAGGTGAGGCTGGTGCTGGAGGTCTGGGGACCACACTGGGAACCACTGAAGTGGAGGGCTGATGTGGGAGGGTGAGACCTGAGTGAGGAGTGCAGTCAGGAGGCTGTCAAAATAGCCCTGGTATGACACGATGGCCTAAAGGTGACATGGGGAATGGGAGACAGAAGGGAGATTTCAGCGCTAGGCGACCTCAACAGGACTTGGCGACTGACCGGCTGCCAGGAGAGGGAACAGAAGGGCTGGAAAGGCCCCAGAGCACGGAGGCCGCGCTGAAGCATGGATGCAGCAGGAGCGGGCTTGGATTCAGTTTAGATATTCTGAGTGTGCTGGGGGGGGAAGAGTGGGCCGGGGGGGAGAGTGTCTGCATGGCACCCGACCAGCTGATACCCATTTCCCGTTTAATATATCCTCCACGTGCTTTATTCTCTTTCACCACAAGGTGAGGCTCTTTGGCCTTTTTCCCTCCTCGGGATGGAGCGAGGATTGCCAATAATGCATACAAAGTACAGCAAGCCTCTATAACAGTGATGGCGAACCTATGACATGCGTGTCAGAGGTGACACGCGAACTCATTTTTTTGGTTGATTTTTCTTTGTTAAATGGCATTTAAATATATAAAATAAATATCAAAAATATGTCTTTGTTTTACTATGGTTGCAAATATCAAAAAATTTCTATATGTGACACGGCACCAGAGTTAAGTTAGGGTTTTTCAAAATGCTGACACGCCGAGTTCAAAAGGTTCGCCATCACTGCTCTATAAAGAAAGAAGCATCTTATTACAGTGCTTAAACTTCTGCCTTTTCTTCCGGGCCATCCAAATGACATGATAACCTACCCACTATATTCCAGGAAGTAAGTATCAGCCGGGACCTCAGGCTGTTTACTGACCTCCTGCCCTAACAAGTTCCTGCCCGTACCCCTGAAAGTTTATTTGGTGATGATTGAAACACTTGAAATACTTTATTTTACTGAAAAAAACGGCATGACTCACCTGGACTTGGGTTTAAGGTTTCATCAGGCAACACGGTTAGAAAGTCACCGTCATCTCTGGGGCTGCTGTCAAGGATTTTCTTGGCTGTGCGGTCCCTCGGTTTCTCCTTATTAATCCTCGCCTCCCTGTGAAGACTTTTCTTCAACTCCACTTGGGCCTGAAAACGATCGGTTATAAATGGTTCAAGTCCTCCCAACCCCCATCTCCACCCTCAGCTACCCTCACCAGAATAGGTCCGTGGGTCAGCCACTTTGCCAGTTGTGTAATCATCTGTGGGCATCTGTGGTCCCCTAATCAGAATAGGACTCTCTTTTTCCTATTAGAAGGCACAGAGTTTTTCTTTATGCACAGGTTTGTTAGGAGAAGGGAGAGTATATCCACAGTCTCAAAAAGGTGAGGACTTCTGTGAAAGCATTTCTCCGAAGGCTAGTTGCTGTATTTGGAATAACAGCAGACAGTGGTTTTAAGCTTATTCACTAGAGTGAGAAGTTTGGAGCCATACTGTACATGGCTTTGTAACAAGAGGTCTTTCTTGTAAGATCGCCCTATGGCAGCGGTCGGCAAACTGCGGCTCGCGAGCCACATGCGACTCTTTGGCCCCTTGAGTGTAGCCACGAAGTTCCAATCGCACTGTATGTGTGCGCCCGCACGTGGTATTTTGTGGAAGAGCCACACTCAAGGGGCCACAGTTTGCCGACCACCGCTCTATGGCATACATTGCAGAGATGCTTCAGTATCAAAATAAAGACCAACCCCATACCACTCACCCCCCCCCCTTTTTTTACTAAACCAAGAAAAATGATCTAACCCATTTTTTTCTGCTGGAGCCAGAATGTCATAGAAGCAAGAGTTTAAAAAAGAGAGACCTGAGACACAGCTAGATCCTATGAGGATTGAAAACAGAGGAAAGACTTAGTTGGTAGGAGAAGGAATGTTGCTGGTTCTTCCCAACTCCAGTAGTTGAATCTTTTGGATCTAATGGCTAGATTTAAAAAGGCTGGAGATGAACCCTTAACTACATTTATGTGCCAGGGCAGTTATCATGTTCAGTGAATTTGGTAAATATGATAGTCTTCTCATATTTACCTCTTGTCTTTTCCGGTTTATTTCCAGCATTTGCATCTTATGTAAATATTGTCTTTTCCCAGAAGTATACATTGGAATTTGCATCTTCTTTTCCAATTCCTGCTGCAAAAGATGACACCTTCATTAGTGTGAGATAACTAGTTACGGACTCTGCAATCTAAACTTGAAATCCTTTTTGGAGCAGAACAAGATGAATCCACAATCGTAATCCATAGAGATCTCCTCTGATATCAAAGGCGAACCACTGCAGTTCCCGGGTAAGACCTTTGTGTAGCTACCAGTGAATGGAGTGGCAGTTGGCAATGTGTGCAATGTAGTTTTTTAAGGTTCCTGTGGAGTGCTTCAGACCTTGAATGGACATATCTTTTCACATCTCATTTTGACAAGATATCACTTCCCCTATCAATAGATGCTTATTACTATCTCCCCAGAAATGTGGTCTGGTTTGATGAGACCAACCTCTCTCTCTCCCTGTCTCTTCTACCACTGACTACTTGTCTGGCTATGAAATTAGAACCTATTTGCCGAAACCGGTTTGGCTCAGTGGATAGAGCGTCGGCCTGCGGACTGAAAGGTCCCAAGTTCGATTCCGGTCAAGGGCATGTACCTGGGTTGCGGGCACATCCCCCGTGGGGGATGTGCAGGAGGCGGCTGATCAATGTTTCTCTCTCATCGATGTTTCTGACTCTCTATCTCTCTCCCTTCCTCTCTGTAAAAAATCAATAAAATATATTAAAAAAAAAAAAGGAATTAGAACCTATTTATACAGAGTGTTCCCCTATATACCAACATAAGCTCTGGTATATTACAGTTTAGGAAGGACTTGAAGTTGATTATTTGTGACTTTGGTGCTCTTCCCATAAACTCCAGTGGGACAGTGCTGACAGTCATTGAGGGCAATCAGGGGTGATGCACACTCATTTACCACCAGATGCATTCAGTGATGTTTTATGGTGGCCTGTGGACAATGACTGTGTTCACTGATGTGAGCCTCAGGGAGAGGCCATCTCCTGAGGTGCTATCAGCCTCACAAACATGGCCTTGAGGATCCAAAACTACCTGGACATCTTCTACCAAGTGAGCCAGCACACAGCAGTATCTAGCTGGTTCCAAAATGAATCAGGAGTAGAAAGTGTTAGAAATCTGCTTCTACCTCACATTTTACATTTCTGCACGAGGGAAGTTTTCTCAGCAGAGTATGACAAGTTTATAAAAGGAAAGAATTTTACAGTAGGCCCTTTCCAGGATGACTTTTTGGTGCGTTGTAGTATGATTTATCCTGAAAACTGAGAACAAAGAGAAAGTTTTAGCCGAGTGGAAGAAATGAAAGGGAAGAGTTATGCTGGACTTTCCCACATATTTGAACACTTCTAGAATCACCAATTTCCAAGTACAATTTCTGTCTCTTCTTCTTCTCCCTGTTCCACCAGGAAGCGGAGAAGGGCCAGGGGTTCACGTGACAGGCAAGAGCAGTTGCCAGCAGGAGGCAGGCCCAGGAGAAGACAGAGGGCTTTATCAGGTTCTAACACTGAATAACGGAATAGTGTGATTTGCTTTGAAGTCCTCTGTGCAGGGAGTACATGAAAAGGACAGCCCACCCTCCAGTTACACCCACCCTCTCCGAGTACCACTGCAGTTTACCTTTGCTTTGCGAGTCGTCCTGGGTTCTCGCTGGCTCAAGATCCTTTCAGAAGTAATTACTTGTGGCAGGTCAATGGGTTCAAGCTTCTAGAAGCCCAACATTTAGAGCATTCAGCATTCCTCGAGCCATGAGATGATGAAACATAAAAGCCAGGCATTAAACTATCTTAACACTTTGCGAAAGCAGCACTTGCTCTTGAGAGCACACAGAGAAGGCAATTTCAATGGGATCACAGTGGTATTCTGGGTTCTGTATGGCTCTATTGCACTGTGGTCAGTGACTTATTGACCTAAATAGTGGTCAGAGAGTTAAAAGACTAAGAATCCTTTTCTAGCTGCATTGAGGGACCATGTCTAAAGGTATCGAATAATGAGGATCTTAGAGTATTAGAGACGAAAGAAGCACCAAGAAGTTATTTTCTTCACCCATTAACCACCCAGCTGAACTCCTCTGGTTCTTGGAGAAGTGACTTATTTTAACATCTTCAGAGGAGCTCCCTCATCCTCCTCAATAATAATCGGTGGTGCTTAAGAGGCACACGTGAAATGGCAGTTCAGTGTGCTAACAAATCTTAGGCATGACTTTTCCTAGCGGGGGTTTGGCTTCATAGGGAAAGTGCTGCTGGAGTTTCAAGGGGTCACTAATTGGGCAGCAATTGATGAGCCAGTAGATCTGCCTCCAGTCCTACTTGCCTCAGATGACTGGCTGCTCCAGAAGCTAGAGCGCTGGGAGGAGATTGAGTAGGCAGGGACATAAATGCTGCCCTGTTCCCATTGGCATGCAGTCAAGGACCTGGAGGGCCATGGAGGTCATTGCTTCACTCAGTGAATACCTATTGAACAATTGCCATATGCCAAGCATGGGGGTACAGTGGTCAACAAAAATGAGCATGGTCCCTCATGGAGCTTACAGTCTATGAGGGAGGAGGAGCAGATAAACTTTTGCTTGTGTGATTATTTGATCAAGAATTACAAACTAATCAGCACTTGAGGGAAAAGTCTGCAGGGCAGGACTATGACAATATATTATTCCTGGAGGACTCCACCTCAGAAATGGGTGGTATTATGAGTTGAATTGTGTTCCTTCTCCCAATTCTATACGTTGAAGTTCTAACCCCTAGTACCTCAGAATGTGACTTTATTGGGTAATGGAGTCCTTGCAGATATAATTAGTTAATATGAGGTTATACGGGAGTAGGCTGGACCTTTAATTCAATATGTTGGTGTCCTCATAAAAAGAGGAAATTTGGAAGATCACCATGTGAAGATCAAGGTGGACATTGGAGTGATGTTTCACAAGAAAAGGAATGCCAAAGGCTGCCAGCAAATCACCAGAAGCTAAGAGAAAGGCATGGAACAGACTCTCCCTCCCAGCCCTCAGAAGAAACCTACCCTGCCAACACCTTGATTTCACACCTCTAGCTTCCAGAACTGTGACATAGTACATTTCTGTTATTTTAAGTCACACAGTTTTTTACACTTCATGATTGTAGCCCTAGAAAAATAATGCAAGAGGGAGAAGGGTAAGGAGGCAGTCCCTGAAAGTTTGCTGAAGAAGTAATTTTCAGCAGAAATTGGAAGGTTGGAAGTATTAAGGGGACGAAGGTTAGGAGAGTGCACGAGCTATTGAAGGAATTGCAAGAAGTTGGCTGCAGTTCAGAGTGAGAGGAGAGCCACTCAAATGAGGCTGGAGAGGGAGGCAGGGGTCAGCTTATGCCAGGCCTAATAGGGGAGTATCAGATGTTGGTTTTCTTAAGGCTATGCGCAGCCATTGACACATTTGAAGCAAAGTAGTGACATGATTGCTACAGTTGTTTTTAAAAATGATCACTGTAGCTGCAGTGTGGAAACTAAACAACTAAAGAGAGTAGTGGTGGTGGTGGTGGTGGTGGTGGGGGGTGGCTGTGGCTCCTGGAAGGACACTTGATGGACTCTACAAATATTTAAAACTGACCAAACAGGATTCATGATGGCTGGTGAGGGAGAGTGAAGTGTCCAGATGATATTCAGATACAAGGTACAGATAGTGTTATCAGTCACCGAGATGGGGAATTCTAGAGGAGGACCAGGTTTAGGCGGAATATAGCAGGAAAATACAAATTCGGTTTAGAGCAGGTTGTGTTTGAGAAGCCTTTGAGACATATCAGTGTAGATGTGGAGTAGATGCTGAGGTGTTGAACAGGCATGGAGTTCAGAGGACAGGTCTGTGCTGGGGGTCATTCCTGGGTAAAGCAAAACTGAAGCCATAGTCATGGGCGCGTCAAGAATGAGAAGAGCAGCCAAGGAGTCCAACACCGAGAGGCTGGTGTGTGAAGACGAAATGGCCAAGGAGACAGAAGTGATGGCTCAGGAAGCAGGAGGGAACCAGGGATGCCACGTGCTGCAGCAAACAATGTGAGCGCTACTCCCTTAGTCCAACATGAAAGGCAAATCCTAACATCTTTTGAAATTATTTTTCATTGTAGTCTGATTTGTTGTATTATCAAGGCGTAGTTCTGGAAGCCAGTGGTAGCTTCCAAGAGTGAAAAGAGACAGAGCGAGACCACGGGAGATGGACGCTGAGCATCCAGCACTCATAGTGGGAGAGCGACATGTGCCTCCTGCTACTTCCCTATGGGACCGTTCCTGGTCCCGGGCCTGGGCCTGGGCTGTTCCCGGGAGGGCAGCCAGCATTTCCTTCTGCTAAAGCAGCCTAACGTGAGGAAGTAGCTTTTTGTTTGTTTTTAACATTGTGACTTAGCAAGGAGCTAATGAGAGGTGATCAATACTAGTAAGAGAGAGGTTTGTCTCTCTTCTCTGCAGAACATAAAGATGCAGGACAAATGGGACCTGCTGGCAGAGGAAGCAGCAGAACATAAAGATGCAGGACAAATGGGACCTGCTGGCAGAGGAAGCAGCAGCTGGTCAAGTCAGAACCCTGAGGGGAATGGAGTAGAAAAGGAAGGGGGATGGAGACCAAGGGTCAAGGGATATCCAGGTAAATGGAAGGGAGAATCAGCAATAACTAGGGAGTTTGGGGGGGAAGTGAGGAAAGAACAGGAAGTGTTTATGCTATCCCCTGGCGTGGTTCAGGATTCGGTTCTTTCTGGTGGTTAGGCCCAAATGCCTTTGTAGCCGCTATTGTCCATCGTGCTCAGGGTCACAATAGGTCATCTCATTCAATTGTCATGGGAACCCTGTGGATGATGATGATGATGGTTCCCCATGTCAGAGAGGTTAGTGACGTGTCCAAAGTTGCATAGCTAGTAAGTGGCAACTCCAGGATTCAAACTCAGGTCTGTCCAGTTCTGAAGTTCATGCTTTTTTCCTCTACTTCTTATTCCTAAACCTGATTTATCACTAGAAACTCTGGGAATTAAAAGAAAAAAATCCTGAGCAATTCATTGGGAATTGAGATTCAACAGATATGGGCTATGTTCTGGCAAAAAAAAAATAGTATATACGTATATTTGTGTGTATGTTTAATTAATAAAATTTATTTTTTGAGCAGATTTAGGTTCACAGCAAAATTGTGCAGAAAGTAGAGCTCTCATATACCTTCTGCTCACAACCTCTCCATTATCAACAGCCTGCACCAGATTGGAACATTGATCACAACTGATAAACCTACAGTGACATATCATTATCACCCAAAGTCTTTAGTTTACAGTAAGGTTCACTCTTGGTGTTGTACATTCTAATGGGTTTGGACAAATGTATAATGACATGAACCTACCATTGAAGTACCATATAGAGGTGGTTATATTACTCTCCAAATCCTCTGTGCTCTGCCTATTTACTCATCCCTCTTTCCCCCTAACTCCTGGTGACAACTGGTATTTCCATGACTATCTCTATAGTTTTACATTTCCCAGAATGTCATAAAGTTGGAATCACACAGTATGCGGTCTTTTCAGATTGATTTCTTTCACTTAGTAATATGCATTTATGTTTCCTCCATGTCTTTTCATGGCTTGATAGGCACATTTCCTTTTAATGCTAAATTATTCTATTTTCTGGATATATCACAATTTATTTACCCATTCACCTACTGAAGGGTATCTTGGCTGCTTCCAAGTTTTGGCAATTATGAATAAAGCTGCTATAAACATCTGTGTGTAGACTTTTGTATGGATATGAGATTTTGATTCATTTGGGGTAAATACCAAGGAGTCTGATTGATGTACCTGCAGTTCTGATATTCAATCTGCAGTTCTGATAAGGGTTAAGTAGCAGGTGTCTTCAAGTACTCTCTGCAGGCAATTACTTTCTTCCTGGCCATGGTAAAGAACCTAAGGGCTCACACTATTTCTCCCCAAAGGACACTAGATGGCAGCAACTAACATTGCAAATAGGATCCCTCTGTTAAATCTTTTTTACTTGACCTGGGAAGCACTGCAGAAAATATTGGTGGAAAATTGGCTTCTCTAAACAAAGTAGTCAAGTGAAGTGGCCTCGGAATTCTGGCTTCATATTTAGTTCCTTTTCCCTCCCTGGGAAATGGGATGCCTCACTTCATCATCTTCAGAGAGAGAATACAATTGAAGGAATTACTTGGAGAATTGTTAGAATGACACTTAAAAAAATTACTTGTCTAAAGATTTCTGGATTATTTGGTTTCTCAAAACAAATTGTCAGGATAGCCAGTGGAAGTGTCACATAGGAGACAAGAGATTCAATCTGTTAGTGGTGACAAACACTAACCTGAGCTTCTATTTACTAGTAGGAGAAAGGTGGGCAGGAACAACTTGAAAAAAGTATAACGTTCATTTGGCACCGTGACTGAAGAATGTGGGCTCTGGGACAAAGGTCAAGATGTCCAAGATGGCCTTGGAGGAAGAAATCGTAAGGCCAAGGGGGAATTTCTGGTCAAGGCGTTGCAAGGAGCTCACATTTTAATAACATTCATTGCTCCAAACATATAGCAATAAAAAAATAAAGCAGGAAACCAAAAAGATATGGTCAGTTTTTGATACAAGATATGTATCTCCCTGACTTAGAAAACAGAACAGAAAATTTGGGGGAGGCAGATCAATAAGGCATTTAGGATTCCTGATGGCTGTGAGTTATTTCTGTAGGTTAAATGGGACCTAAGAGTGCTCCATACAAGATGGGAAACTAGAGCCAGGCTCACAATTTCAACTCAAGGGCTGCATTATTCTTCACCCCTTTTCCTGGTGAAAAAAAGCTGCATCAACATGTAAGCTGAGAGATGTACCAAGAAATATAACAAAAAAAATTACACAAGACCTCTGTTGAAAAATTATGAAATATTATTGAAATATCTAAAAGAAAATATAAGTAAGTGGAGATTTATGCCATGCTCATGGTTTAGAAGACTCAATATTGTAAACTTGGCTAATCTTCCCCAAGTTAATCTATTAATGCTGATAAGGTTTTTTGTGGAACTTGCCAAGAAGATCCAAACTACACACGGAAGAGCAAAGGGCTATGGATAGCAAAAGATAACTCTGAAGAAGAATAAAGTGAAGGGACTTTCCTTATTGAATATAAAAACTCGGTTTAAAGTTAATAACTACGACAGTGTGGAATTCCCGTGCAGATACCAAGTAGACCAGCACAACAGAGGAGAGAGTCCAGAAACAGATTCATGAAGCTTTGGATATTGGATATATGACAGAAGTAACATTTCAAATCAATGATTTCAAAAGAATGGATGATTCTGTAAAGAGTGCTGGGGCAATAGATTAATCAAATGGGGAAAAAGTAAAGTTAGATTTCAACCTCACACCTGCACACAAATGAATTTCAGATGGATTAAGACCTAAGTGTGAAAAGTTAAATAGTATAAATGTTAGAAATACAAAATATCTTTACGAACTTGGGAAAGAGAATAATTAGTCAAAATACAAGAAATACAAAACATAAAGGTTAAGATTGAGAAATCTGACATTAAAACTGGAAATTCATGTGTACACACACCCGTGCATGCGCATGTGCCAAATGAAAAAGCAAACCGTAGATGAAAAGAAGATATTTGCAGCACAGATCATTGAAAAAGGACCAGGTCTCATAAAGAATTCATATGAATCACAATGAAAAAGCTGATAGAAAATTGGCAAAGGATCAAAAAAGGTAAAGAAAAAGAAGTTTGTGACAAATTGTCTAATACCCAAAACAGCATAGACCACCCAGGTCAGAGCCATCCTCCGTATCTCTCATCACCAGTCTTTGTGCTCATCTTTCTCTCCTCTCCATTCATTCATTCATTCATTCATTCATTCATTCAACATTTATTCAACACATACTTATTGCTCACCTACTACCTGCCATGTACTGTTTTAGATACTTATATACAATATAGAAGACAACAGACAGAAATCCCTGCTTCTGTGAAGATTATATTCTAGCACTGGGGTTGGGGGAGGGTGAAAAGGCACTGAAGAAAATACACACTGAACATAATAGGTAAGTAAATTGCTTGTGTTGGATGAAAATAAGTGTTCTGGGGGTGGGGGGTGGGTGGGGAATAGTGAAGGGCCAGGGCAATCAGGAGAGCTAGGGTGAGGGTTGCAATTGTCAATGGATTGTCAGGATAAACTTTCCAGGGAAGGTGAGATTTGAGCAAATCTTTGGAGATGAGGGAATCATTTGAGATTACCTGAGGAAACACTATAGAGTGGGGTGGGGGGTTGGGGTGGACATCTCCATCTTAGGCTGGATCTGAGATAGCTGGATGAGAAGGTGAGTCAGGCCAGAAGGGACAGTGATGGTCAACTCTTCAGCACGGGGCAGGCACATTTGCTGTAGAGTTCCCTGGAAGAGGCTCTCAGATCCAAGCAACTCCAAGTCAGAGAGAACCTGAGTTCCTGACCTGCTCTTTGCTTGAGGAGTAGATGTTCAGGAAGTAGGGAGCGCCAAATATGCGAGTCAAATTATTTAAGGTGCGATTCAACCTGGTTTAATAATTTAAAAAATACTTTTAGAATTTTCCCTGCCAGGGATTAGGCTATTAATTAGCATGTCATGGGAACCCAGCATTTATTATTCTCTCAAAAACCCGTTTGTAGTGGAAAATGTGCTGAGTCTCATTTGTGAAAGATAATTATAGTTTATATCTTTCAGATACCTGCCAAGTTCCCAGTGATTTCCCTCTTCTCAGGGAGCTGCCTTCAGAATCTACATTTCCACTGCATGGCATACCCCCTGGTCATAGCTCTTTGGACCAAACCTGGAATCATGAGCAGAGCTGAGCCAATAAGATTTTTTTTCTCTCTCGCAGGAATTTGGAATTGGAGCCAAGAGGGCCAGGCCACACTGCTTGACTGGAACTGTCAGATGCAAATTATTGGCACATATCACCGATGGTCTTGAGGAGCTGAAAGTTGATTTGCAGGAGAGAATAAAGCAAATGCAGAGAGAATAGCACAGGGGAGACACGTAGGAAGTTCTGCCTTTCAGGATCCAAGGCACAGTTCTTCCCTGAAGTGCAGGTGCCTCCCAACTCTGGGGTTCAATAAAACACTCCTCTATCCTTATTATTCATCACATTTGTTATGTTGGTTAGACAATTGGACTTCCAATCTAGTGATGCTACAGGTCTCCAGCAGGGAGTGCACTTTGATTTTTTTTTTTCCCCACGAGGGACAATGGGTCTCTTTCTTATTCATTGACCTGTTCATTCATTCACAAAATATTGTGGGGCATGTATTAAGTGTTAGTGACTGAAGATATAAGACTGAATAACACATGGTCTTTGAGCTCAAATAATTCATTTGTCTTGATTTTTCTTTTTAAGGTGGTTTGGTTAGGATGTGGGGATGCAGTCTTTGAAATACCAGAGTTCTCTTTTTGAGCGTGATGGATTGATGTACTCTTTTAGCGTATCCAGGATTGCTAGGTATGAAAAGTACTTTGTGAACTACAGACTGCTACACACTTACTTTTCACTGGTTACTTTTCATTAAACAATATTTTAAGGCTTTTCATCGTTTGGGAAAAGATGCTTTTTTGTGTGACCAAAAGATATAATCAGATCAAATAATGATTGTGAGCTTTTGGAGAAAACAGGTAAATAAAAACCAACTGAAACAGAAATAATGCCTAACAAATGAGCTCAGATACACCTGGGATTGGTCTAGTCATCTGGGTGAATCGTGTAGCAGGTGGGATTTGGCTTTGATTCTTTTCAAATGTCAGCGATAGATCCTGCTCACTGAGACACCCCCCTTCGCCCCCCACCCCCACCCCAGCCCTGCTTTCAGCTGGTGCTTATTTTCAAAGACCCACTCATATCTCTTTCCCTTCTACAATGAGAGTTCTGAGACTTTACAGTTCTCTAGAGAAAATTCATTAAATATTTATTAAGGTGAGTGCGTTTAAAATTTGCTTTGCTGCCTTGAAATCCAATGTTCTCAATTTCAACAACCAGTTGACACTTAAAACAATAGAAGGGTAGGGAAAGAAGGGCTGTAGAGATCATCTCTGCCCAGTTAAGAAAAAGGGCTTTGGAAACCTGATTGATATGTGGTCTCTGTTGTCCTTGTTAATTCTCTGAACTACATGTATACAGCAAAGATAATGCTTCCTTTCTCAGAGAGGGGTATGAGGATTAAATGGGTGACATAGATCGAGTTGTCTGGGGTGTCTCTGACTTGTAGTAGGTGAAAATTAAATAGTACTAGCTATTGTTATTGTTATCATTGTCTATTACAAGTGATTTCCCCATAGTCACTCAACTAATCAATGCAAGCTTCAGGTCCTTTGAGCCTCATCATGGCTATGTCTTTGGTACTATACTTTCTCCTTTTGGTAGTGGCTTTCAAAAGTGAAATCATTACAAAAGGAAACTGAAAGAAAGATGGTCTTTGCATTGATAACATTCTCTTTAACATTATTGTCATTCTCGTTTGCTTGGTCCTTTTTAATATTCCTCTTTTATGATTATAGTTAAAAAGGGATGTGACCATTAAATTCCTATGAAGCTTTTTAAATTTATCTTACTTGAAGTCTTCGGGGTGGATGCCTTTTAATAATACTTGTTTCTCCCTGTTCCAGTGGGATGTCAAAATACATGGCCCTGGGCACTTGAAGGATTGGGGGAGAAGCAAGAAAAAACACATTAGAAACAATTTACTATTAAATAAGTTTAACAATTAGTTTTTAGACTTTGTTAACCAATTTTGTACCTTCCTTTTTTTAAAAAATATATGTCAAACCTATGGGTTGAATGTGGAGATGAAACATATAAAGCAGGAACCCTACATGAGAGCAAATGCAAAATATTAGCTTAGACGCAGAATTTAATTTCTGTTTTTCTCATTTCCTCCCCAAACGTATTGATGACAACCCAGCCAGTATGGCTCAGCAGTTGAGTGTCCACCCAGGAACCAAGAGGTTGACAGTTCAATTCTGGATCAGGGCACATACTCGAGGTTGCAGGCTCAATCCCCAGTGGGGCGGGGGGCGGGGGTGGGGTGGGGTAGAGGTTGGGGGGTGGGGGTGGGGGTGGTGGTGGGGCATGCAGGAGGCAGTCTATTGATATTTCTCTCTCATCAGTGTTTCTTACTCTCTATCCCTCTCCCTTTCTCTCTCTCTAAAAAATCAATAAAAACATATTTTTAAAGAAATGTATTGATGACAAATGTTATTCAAACACAGGATTTGGCATGAAAAATAGAAATGTATGGATTTATTTTAATTTCATTAAATCACCCCCAAATAATATAGGAAATCAGGATAAAATATAGCTTTAAGAAATAAAAATAAATTCTCTTTTTAGATGAACTAGATAGATAGATAGATAGATAGATAGATAGATAGATATTAGGTAGAGAGGTAATAAAGAAATAGAGCAAATGCCCTAACCGGTTTGGCTCAGTGGATAGAGCGTCGGCCTGCGGACTGAAAGGTCCCAGGTTAGATTCTGGTCAAGGGCATGTACCTTGGTTGCGGGTACATCCCCAGTAGGAGGTGTGCAGGAGGCAGCTGATCAATGTTCCTCTCTCATTTATGTTTCTAACTCTATCCCTCTCCCTTCCTCTCTGTAACAAATCAATAAAATATATTTTAAAAAAAGAAATGGAGCAAAAAATAAGAAATAAAAAAAAAAGAAACTGAGTGTGTTTAATAGGAGTATGCAATGCTAAGCATTGTATGTTCCTAATTAAATAGTCCCCCTAACTAAGGAAAGACATTTCCATATATAGCATGTCAATATTCTTTCTTGATAAAACAACCTTGTTAGGAAACAGAGGCTCAAGAGCTCCATTGTGAATTGGATTTTTTTAGTTTGATTTTCCTGAGCCTTTGGGACTGCTACCATGACCAACACTGCATGAATGAAGTTCTTGTCCTTTCCTCTTAACAGGCTGGAAGCATTCTGATTTCTAGATTCTTGTGTAGACTGTCCTACAGCTCCATGTTGCATTTTAAATGGAAAAATTCCTGGATAATTATGTATTTCTATCCTTGAGACACTTCAATGACCACCTTAAGCACTTTGCTCTGTCCTTATTTTCTTTTAAGAGATGCCAGCATAGTGAGCAAGACAGAAACAATAGCAATGGCAACCAAACACATGTGGGATTTAAAAATCTAAATATTTTCAGCAAAATTTTCTTCAGTAGCCTGACTCTTCTGTAATTATATACTATGATTTGAGTGATATCACCTCATTATTTAATTTGATTCTGCTGAAATGGCATAGGCAGTGTCAGGTAGCTATTTTTATCCCTGATTTATAGTTGAAGAAAACGGAGGAAGTAAATTGCTCAAGTCATACTATTTGGTATTTGGTGGAGCTGCGGGTAGAATATGGGCCCCTGGAAAATAGTGGTCAAAATGCTCACTATCCCCTAGTTATTTATTTTTAATGTGATTTTGCCATTTCAAAAATAAGAACATTTCCCAGTTGTGACTCTAATCCATTAGAATCAGCTTTTTCCATTCTAATACCAAAATCTTAAAACTGGATAAAGGGGTTAGATTGTTTTTAAAAAGAAACTTATTCAATAAAATTAAGAGGAAAATTCCCATTCATGACCTTAGGAAGTTGAAGAACATAAAAACCTAGGTCATGGGGAACGGGTCAAAGGTTGTCAGTTACAAAAATTAGCTCTGAAAGTCATTCTAGATAAGATTTCCTAAATACCAACATAGAAGGCTTTCTGGCCAAGTTGACCAACAATGGGAGCTTGATAATGTGTTATTGATCTAGAATGTGAAGAAAAAAGAAAATTACATACAAATATATGTGCTAGTATGTTTACATTATTCATGTACACGTCTCTTCCCAAGTTAGAAATCCAGTAAAATATCCCAGAATAATTTATAGTCACTTCAGGCTTAGAGCTTCCTATCTTAATGAGAAAAAAATGTTCTTAGTCCTGTAGATGACCATGAGAATATGGAGCTGGGGACAGGGTGACTCATCCACTCATCTGTACTGCAATAAATCAATTTTGTTTGGGGCGGTTTCCAAATTCACATTAGAGTGAACTCCCACAGTGCTGCTTTCAAAATAACAAAGTCTGAGGCATTAAACACTACTGGGGAGGATGATTTAAATTTAGAATCTGATGGAAACACATGATGGTCACAAGGTATCACACCTTTATCTAAATAATTGTAACTGTCTGGCAAAGCTAGCTATAAACATTGAAAGCACTATAAACTAAACTGAAACAAAAGGATTTTTCCTTCTCATATGGAACTGGAGAGCATTATGCTAAGTGAAATAAGCCAGTTGGAGAAAGATAAATATCACATGATCTCACTCATATGTGGGATATAATGATCAACATAATTTGATGAACAAGAATAGATCGATCTAGAGACAAAAAGTGGTGGTGGTGGTGGGGTGTTAGAGAGCAACTAAAGGACTTGTATGCATGCATATTAGCATAACCAATGGACACAGATACCGGGGCGGTGGGGGCTTGCGGCGGGGTGGGAATGGCTTGGGGGAGAGGGGTCAATTGGGGAAAAAGAAGACATATGTAAAAAGTTAGACAATAAAAAATGATATTAATTATACTTAAAAAAAGAGAAAAGCCCTTTATGCAGTTTACACACCCATTCTCACGTACCCAGAATACTTAACATTGACAGACATTCAATCTCCCATCAAAAGATCTTCCCTTATGTTTCTGTAATTGAGAAACTTTCTGAGATTATGGGGTTAGACAGGCAAACCTACCAATAGCTCTGCTTGGCACAAATACACAAATCTCACGCTGGCTTCATGCTTACCTGCAGAATATCTTCCATACCAGGTCTCTCGTAGCGGGGGCAACTGCCCTTCCCAAGCTTTACTCGGGTCCTGCCGTCTGGCCGGCGAATATGTACTCTTTTCTTCCAGGTTCTGAGTGAATGCAAACTCCGCAGGACCAGCCGAGGGTGTCTCTTCCTCTTTGTTTTGCAAAGGTGCCACTTTGATCACCCTCGGGTGAGCCTTAGAGTGGCTCAGGCCCATTTTACCTTAAAGACAGTCAAAGGAAAACCATGGGGGAAGTGGCGTGGGGCCTTTAACGTAGGTCGTTTTAATCAAGGTATTTCAGGCGTTTAGCCCTGCTTTCCAAAGCAGATGTTTCCTTCCTGACATCTTTGTATGTCTACTTCACCACACACTAACCCTTCTGGCCACTTCCTGGGAGGTTGGTTTCCATGGAGACTTCCCTCCAGCTCCCACTTGTCATTTCAGACCCAAAGAATTCAGTTAAACATTGACTTGGTTATGCTACTTCATGAAAGGCTCAGTGGTAGCAATAGAAACCTCTATTGATCATTAAACAAATCTCTAACCCCAGGAAGGCCATTAACAGAGATGGAGAGCAGAGGGTTAGAGAAGTCTTAAACTTGACCCTTTCGTTGCATGTACCTTTAAACCCCACCTGTAAGAACTACCAACTAAGTAAGAATAGCTAAATCACCTTTGGACAGGAGGGATGCATGCTAATAATCTAGGGCTTAGTCAATCTTTAATTTTAACTGAAGAATTCATCTTCCAAATAGGTAAAGAAATAGCAGAATAGCTTAAATAATTTGATTTTTCTGTCAATAACTTGTGCCGGAAGCCAGTCCATCCTTGCTGCTTGACACAGTCGCTGCAGGGAAGAAACATCTGCACGGCATATGTTTCAAGGACCTGGCATATATGGCATACTGTTCTTAATATGTTTGCTCCCCTTCTTGGTGCTATGTGTTTTAACCAAGATCACCTCTCCGAGAAAGGTTCTTTGCCCAGGTAGGGATTTTTCCCTGGAGTTAGGGAGGGGATAAAACCCCTTAACTAAGTGCCAGGCGGGTAGTTAATCACTTTAACTATGAACAATCACGCTTAAGCTACATAATCTTTACTCCCTGGAATGGAGATAAGAAACGCCCTAACCTTTGGAATAGAAATTGATAGGATTAAAATAAACTGGTATAAATACAGATGTAACAAGACAATGAAACACAGAACCTGGCTGGAGAACCTGGCTAGAACCTGGCTAGAGAACCTCACTATGCTGATCATCTGAACACTGTCTCCATGTCATTCCTTCTTCGCCGACTCCGTCCACACCTTTGGGGAACCCCTGGACCTGCTGGGGCTGGACCCCAACAAACTTGAATTGCCTTAGAAGAGATGAATACATTACAGGAAGATAGGGAGACAATAGGAATTTTCCTCCAAGAAAATGGGACAAACTTCTTGAATAAATGGTTCAAGTAAACCTTGGGTTTTAAAAGGTAGGCTATTTACTATGTTTTAAAAAGTAGGGGAGAAAAAGCACTGGAAATAAATGTACTGAAATGCTGAGTGGGGTTTTTGAATGATGGAATTATGGGTGATTATTATTTTAATTTTTTTATACTTAGAAACAGAACTCACTTTCATGTTCTAATTGTTCATGTTCATCATAACCTGTAGTGAAGTTCAAAGAAATTTGTTTTCCATTTTTGCAAAATTCATTATCTAAGAGGCTAACATGGGTTTGGAAAGTCCTGATAACCAATAGAGTTCATCTAAAAAGATGTTTGAGCTTAACCTTTTCCTACTTAATTCCCTTTGCATTTTACAACCATGTTCTCTGTGGCGGAGAGACTTGTAAGAAAGAATCATATGTTAACAGTATCTACAAACAAAATTATGATAAAGATGAAGATATTTGAACAATATCTAGCATATTTTTTTTGGATATAACCAATTTAAGTATTTCTAAGGGCAGGGTAAAGTATTGCAAGTCATCAAATGAATGAGAAATTACATGGGGACTTCATGGATCTGGATCAGGGAGAATTCCGCTCTCATATTCTTTACTATTATCTAATTTTGAGAGATTGTATGTGTGGAGAATATCAGTCTTTGTAAGGAAGTTGGTTAGTTGTTGAGGAAATTATTTTAAAAATGAAGATTCACGCCCTGGTTGTTTCTTTTTCTTTTCTTTTTTTTTTTTTTTGGCAGAAAATTTGGTTCCTTTTTATTTTTTTTTTTAATTCTTTATTAGTTAAGGTATTACAAATGTGTCCTTATCCCCCCCCATTACACCCCCCCCCCCCCGCCCCACTCATGTTCTCATCCCCCTGTTGTCCATGTCCATTGGTTTGGCTTATATGCATGTATACAAGGCCTTTGGTTGATCTCTTCCCCTTACCCCCTCCCTCCCCTACTTTCCCTCTGGGGATTGATAGCCTGATCGCTGTTTCTCTGTCTTTGGATCTGTCCCTGTTTATCAGTCTATGTCAGGGGTGGGCAAACTTTTTGACTCGAGGGCCACAACGGGTTCTTAAACTGGACCGGAGGGCCGGAACAAAAGCATGGATGGAGTGTTTGTGTGAACTAATATAAATTCAAAGTAAATATCATTACATAAAAGGGTACGGTCTTTTTTTTTTTTTTTAGTTTTATTCATTTCAAACGGGCCGTAGTTTGCCCACGGCTGGTCTATGTTGTTCTCTATAATCCACAAATGAGTGAAATCATGTGGTATTTATCTTTCTCTGACTGGCTTATTTTACTTAGCATAATGCTCTCCAGTTCCATCCATGCTGTTGCAAAAGACAAGAGTTCCTTCTTTTTTACCGCAGCGTAGTATTCCATTGTGTAGATGTATCACAGTTTTCTAGTTTGTTTCTCCTTTTATTACTAGCCACCACTGTCACACCTTGTAACTTGCTCAGATTACTTAACACTTCCATGCCTCAATGTCCTCATCTATAAAATGGGGTTGACAATAATTTATGAAGAAAGAATCAATTGATTCTCTTTATAGCTCTTAGCCAGCATTCTTCTCCTGAGGAAGTATTGCTACATGTCTCCATGTAACAGGATAGTCCTTATTACCCACTGGTCAGAATCTATTAAAATAGACATATTCCTGTCTAAAGGAGTTTACACCTAAGTATAGAAAAGAACAATGAAGAAAGGGTAAATTAGTTGGGTCTATTTAACATCAATGCTTAAGGACTATCATTTAAAAAGTGCTCATGTGTTGGAAGAATTTTTATTAGAATGATGATAAAAATATTTTCAATTTTATTAAAAGAGGAAAAGGAGAATTTAATGTCATCTATAGAGTCTTTTATAAGATACTAGAGGCCTGGTGCATGAAATTCGTGCACTGGGGTGGGAGGGTTCCCTCAGCCCTGCCTGTGCCTTCTCACAGTCCAGGATCCCTCTGGGGATATCCGCCTGCTAGCTTAGGAGCGGGCCTAAGCCAGCAGGCGGACATCCCCCTCGCAGTCCAGGAGCCCTTGGGAGGATGTCTATCCACCTACTCACTGCTCTTTACCATTCAGCTCACTACTCCTTAGCATTGCTGTGGAGGCAGGAGAGGCTCCCCCCACCGCTGCTGCGCTCACCAGCCGTGAACCCAGCTTCTGGCTAAGCAGCACTCTCCCTGTGGGAACGCACTGACCACCAGGGGGCAGCCCCTGTGTTGAGCATCTGCCCCCTGGTAGTCAGTGCACATCATAGCAACTGGTCGTTCTGCTGTTTGGTTAATTTGCATATTAGCCTTTTATTATATAGGATAATTTATTAACCACAACAGTTGAAAAACATTAAAAAGCTCTCACCTACCCAAATCTTGCCCACTCCTCAGACTATCTGTGACATTTTATAATGATCCTTCCTCAGTTCAAGAATGGTTATGGCCCTAGCCGTTTTGGCTTGGCTCAATGGATAGAGCATCAGCCCTTGGACTGAAGGGGTCCGGTGTTGGATTATGGTCAAGGGCATGTACCTCTCGAATATGAGAGGCAACCAATTAATGTGCCTCTCTCACATAGATGTTTCTCTCACTCTGTCTCTCCCCCTTCCCTTCCACTCTCTCTAAAAAAAACAAATAAATAAATCAAGGGGAAAATATCTTCAGGTGAGGATTAACAACAACAACAACAAAATGGTTATGGATATGCATTGCTGATAAAATACGATGTTGTTTGTAATAGTTAGGGTTCATGAATACGTAATAAGAATATAAATTTATAAATCTCTTAAGATGAGGCAGAGAAGGGATTTAAAGGTAGTGCCCAAAGAAAACTTTATGAAAACACAGGGCAGAGAGGAAAGAGAAGTTGGTGGGGGAGGAGCAGGAACTGATAGCCACATGTGCTATTCCGCAGGTTAGGGACAAGAGCTGCCAGTTTGCAACCTGACCATAGCGTTCCCAAAGAGTGTCCTTGCACAAGCTCCAGTGCTCAGAGCTTTCTTGCCTTGGGTCGAGAACACCTTCCTTTGAGACATGGAGTGAGCTAAACACCTATTATCCCCACTCCTAACACTCCTCTTTGCCTTTGCATTCAAACTGGAGGGAGCAAAGCTACAAAGCTGTGTTCTTAGCCAGAAATCTCTGCTTTTGTTCTTGGTTCTCTCCTGAATTGGGCAAAACTGTTAAGGAAGCTTGTTTAGTGGACTTAAATTCTATAGTAGTGGGAATGCAGACTGGTACAGCCACTGTGGAGAACAGTATGGAGTTTCCTCAAAACAATAAAAATGGAACTCCCATTCGACCCAGTAATCCCGCTTCTAGGAATATATCCCAAGAAACTAGAAACACCAATCAAAAAGGAAGTATGCATTTCTATCTTCATAGCAGCACAATTCACCATAGCTAAGATTTGGAAACAGCTTAAGTGCCCATCAGCAGATGAGTAGATTAGAAAACTGTGGTACATCTACACAATGGAATACTACCCTGTGGTAAAAAAGGGAATTCTTACCATTTGCAACAGCATGGATGGAACTGGAGAGCATCATGCTAAGTGAAATAAGCCAGTCAGAGAAAGATAAATATCACATGATCTCACTCATTTATGGAATATAATGAACAACATAAACTGATGAACAAAAACAGATCCAGGGACAGAGAAGCATTGATCAGACCATCAAACCTCAGAGGGAAGGTAAGGGAGGGTGGGGGTAAGGGGGAGAGATCAACCAAAGGACTTATATGCATGCATATAAGCCTAACCAATGGACATAGACACCAGGGGGTGAGGGCATGAGTGGGGGGGTGGGGGGTGGGGGAGCAATGGGGGGATAGGAAACATATGTAATACCTTAATCAATAAAAACAAAAGAAGAAGAAATAGGGTTGACTCCTTCCTAAAAAAAAAAATTCTATAGTAAAGTTAATGCAGAGTCACAGGAGATGTGTGGATGTTTCT